TTCTGTGGGCGGCCCTGAGACCACTTCACGAGCACGGTCGCGATGAGAAGCGGCTGCGACAGGCTGGCGCGACACCGCACCGCACACCGCCGCACACAACACCGCACCGCACACCGCCGCACACGGCACGGGCTCGATCGCGATGATAAGGGGCTGCGGCAGGCCAGGGTGACACCGCACCGCAAACGATACAGCACCGCACACTGCCGCACACGACACCGCACCGCACATCGCCGCACACGACACGGGCTTCACTGGACTGGCTCGAGCATCTTTTCCCTGAAATGCACATCAGCTTAATACTGCCGTGCTGTGATTTCTCATTTACCCGACCTGTCGCCTTTACACTTCATGCTGTCGGGCAACTTTAAGACTAGAAGGTTCGCTGATTTAAGCACGTGGTCAAGTCAGCGAACCTTCAATCACTCAAGGCCACCTTCAGAAATAAGATGGGGTGCATCACAGTGGATAATCGGCCGGGCAGTCGAATGCCTGCAGTTGGTATGGCTGTTGCGCGTCCTGGCCCGTCACCGGGCAGTCGACTGCCGGCAGTTGGTACAGCTGTTGCGCGTCCTGGCCCGTCACCGGACAGTCGAATGCCTGCAGTTGGTACAGCTGTTGCGCGTCCTGGCCCGTCACCGGGCAGTCGACTGCCGGCAGTTGGTACAGCTGTTGCGCGTCCTAGCCCGTCACCGGGCCCGTATGGAACGCCGTTTGTTGTCACTATTTGACGGGATGAGGATCACGGATGACTAACCCCGTCGCTGATTGTGTTTTATCATGCATTAAACAATCGAATGCCACCAGAGCCACGATTGTGCAACGAACACAACTGCGACTGTTGTGGGAGCATGGATTCACTTTTACCTGGGTCATCCTGTACTTTTAAAAGGTGCCGCATAATACTGTCACATTGTTCCTTACCCTGTCCAGGTGTCATCATGTCAAAAACTTGGCTAGCACGTGCATACTGATCTCACGCATAAGGGAGTTAGTGTGGCAAATGGTTAGGTACATGCATGATGATATTTGGTACAGAATGAACGTGACACTAAAAGTGATGCGTCTAAGACCCTTGCAAACCGACAAGCTCAGGTAGTGTTTTGCATTTCTTTGGCGTCGTCTGCCCTCTTGGCTGAATGAGCATTGAGGGGCTCAGAGGAGCATTGGGGAGGGGGGGGGGGGGAGGGGGAGCGAGGGATATGTAAAAGGGACTTGGTGGATTGGTGGGCATCTCATCAGTCTCTTGGAGAGCCAGCCTTCCACTTCGATCAGCGCTGTGAATAGCTAGCCTCAGCTCGGCGCAGCTGGCGCACAAATATTTCGTAACGCGGTAAGGTCAATAGCAGCTAGCGCGTTTTCTGGCTAATTTATCGCCACGGCTTGCTACACAGGCTTTTTTCAGAACGCACGGAGCTTACGCATATCACGTACTGTTTTGCATTACTAGTCAATAACCTCAGTTTGTCCATGCCGGACAAATGTAAAGATCTAACGACAGCCTCAGGTTTCCTTAAGATGACCACTGAGCCATAACCGCGCACCGGCGGCGGCCCCGTCACTATTCCGTCCTTGGATCGCCTGGCGCCAGTCGCCCCCTCCTTCCCCGATCACCACCCCAGAAGAGGCGTTTCGTCTTCACGCCCGGCCGCCCCGAATTCAATATCCAAAGGAGCCAGGAGGCCTTCGTACTTTCAGAGCGGATCCTAATCGCATGGGAGTTTAAAGAGCTCTCCCTCCCCGTCGCCCTGGGCCCGGCCACAGTAAGGGTGCTCGGGCCCCAAGGTTTCTCCCGCTAATCGGCGGTTTACGGGTAACCGGATAACAGCGCGTTAACGAGCTCCAGACGCAGCGTTGTTGCCAGGTCTTCATGAGCTTTTCATCATGACCTTGAGCTCCAGACTGGTTCAGACTTGCTCTCCCATCATGGTCATGGTGCAGGTGATCTGACTCCTACACTTTCTCCTGAACCGATATTTCTAGACCGCTGTACTTGTTATCGCCTGATGTTCATGACGATAACGCTGTCCAGACCTTCGGCAAATCTTCCTTCGTCCTTGCCGCGGTAGGAGAACTTGGGGAGTATAACATTCCGTCTGTGTTATTTCTAGCCGATCCTCCCACCTCCCTTTTCCGAGCGAAAATTTGCAAGTCCAGCGAGGCTAAACGACGGTAAACTGCCGTCATGGGGGCGCACCTTCGTCCTCTCGCATACATTACATTGCAGGCTGCGGACAGCGGCATCCAGACGGCATGGGAGGGATGAGCGCGGTCAGACCTGGCACATCTCACACACAGCAACCGGATGTGATTGCAGCACAAAGGACGCTGCTGCTGTGCATAACAATATGCATGTATGTGAGGGAGGGGCGCAGCAAGTGGACAGCTCTGTCTGCGCCCGCTGGCGGGCGGAGGCATGACCGTCAGCCGGATAAACTTTTCTTGGGCCCAGACAAATCGAGGATGGCATGGCGTCTTAATCTTGTGGCGTCCAAAGACACGTTAGCAGCCAGTTTTTCGCACGTTGGCGATTTCGCACGTGTCAGACCTAATAAAGATTGATAATTGCCGTTGTTAAGCCAGCTGGGAATCCCTCAGGGGATGAGCGCCTGTCGGCGGCGCGCGAAGGTCGCTGGCAGCGAGCGTTCCGCTGAGCCCTCCCACGTGACCAGGCCAGGCGTGGTCGCTTCAGGTCGCTTCAGGAGCAGGCATGGGGACGAAGCCAGACTTCTGGCATCAGTACCGAATCCAGGGCCAGACGTGGACGTGAAGCCGAAGTCGAAGCCGAAGCCGTCGGCTTCGATGCTTACAACTGCAAATCCGTAACCGATGCAGTGGCTGCGAAATTCGTAAACGTGAAGCAGGAGCCGAAGCCAGCGGCATGAAACTTGAGAAATGTGAAGCCAAAGCCACACTCATCAGCTCAAAATTGCGAGTCCCCAGCCGGAGCCGTATTCAGTGCACAGCGTTGATCTCAGAACCAAAACCACTTCGCATCAGCCGAAACTGGAGATTGGCTGAGACAAGTTGTTAGCGTTATGGGCGGAACATATTTTTTCGGACTGCCGCCATCGTCTTGTATTAATATGCACACAACGTTGCGGACAGTTAGTTCTCCTGCCGTCGTCCGGTGTTGATTGATCCGTAACGCGTCCGGCTGACCTTGGCTGTCGCTACGCATGCGCCAGCGCCTTGAAAAGTTGAGTGAAATAATGCGGGGACGAAATCGCCAAGTCAAAGCTGGCAGTTCAAGTTCGCATCGAGCTAAACTCGAACCACAATTAAACACTTATTCGAACGCGAACCAAAAGGCATGACAAACTATTATGCATGTCACAAAGCTGACGTCAGCCGCTCGAAATAGTATGAAATCGAAGCCGAACCCGAGGCCGAAGCCACGCAAGGAAAACTACAGCCTCGCGAAGCCGAAGTCGGCTTGGGTCCCATGCCTGCTCAGTAGGCAAAGCCACGCTATTGCATGGCTTTGCTGACCAACACCCGCCCAGTCCGGTGCCTGCAGCGGGAGGTCACCAGCCGCCGCAACACGGAAGCCCGCCGGCTGGCGTTGTCGGCTACACGTGCTGGCCCGCCGGCCGCCGCGCTGCGCAACACCCCGGCCGGTCTGCACCGGCGGCTGGCGGCCCCTGCAGACCCTCCTGTGGCCGCGGCCGCTCCGTTCGTGACGTGCGGGTAGGGGTGCCGCTGGGGCCTCCTCCAAAGGGGCTGGTGTCTCCCGGGCTGCCGCCCAGCGAGTGGACGGAAAGGCCGGCGCCCTGTGACGCCAGAGCGAGGCCTGGTCCCGTTAACCGCCGAGCTCCGATTGCCCACTGATAGTGTACTGGAGTCCGGCCACTGGCCGATTAGGCTGGCTATCACGACGCGAGCCGCACTGCCAGCAAACACGTTAGTCGTTACAAAAAACAACGGACAGCAATTAACCGCGTCCATAGCTTTCACCGCGATCAATGCGCAACTCTGCCAGGCTTGCCCAGTGTGGCAATGGTCGTTCCCCTCACAAACACGTGAGGAAAGAGAATCCGCCTGGGCTTATGACGCGGCCTGTGCTGACCGCGGCCGTGATCCGTCCCATGTTAGGTACGACGGACGCCCCCATCCCAGCACGCTTCCCGTGCTGACGCTGGTCTAGCTCGCACGCTCTGTTCCGGCTGGCTGCAATCCACCAGAAACACCCGTCCTGAACACCAGCGCATGTATTTCGAGTGAAGGCTCGGCGTTGCAGACCTCGCAACGGGCAGGCATTGGGCAACGCACCGCGCCAGTGGCCGGTGCGGCGACAGTGCACCGTAGTCGGCCTGGTAACGGATCACCAACGACGACAGCGACACCGCCGCCCTACAGATGGCGATGGCCTGGCGGTGGAACCCAGCTGTCCGCTACCAAAGTGGTGTTCGAATGATGATCACAGACAAACGAGGGCACACGGCACGAGCGGGTCAGAGGAGGCTGGGGCTCCCGTCGGGACTCCAACGCTGCACGACTGGAACAAAACCCCAAAATATCACAAGTGGCTGTTGCAAGCGTCACCACAGCTGTGAGGCGTAATAGCGCAGGCATGCTACAAAACGACAATGAATGCTAGGCGCCACGGCTCGTAAGCGGAACTATTTGTCATAATATCATATCCACTAGCCAGCAGCGATCAGCTACGACGGCTCGTTCCGCAGACAGCGGATTGGTTTACATTAAAACATCTCACCTAACGTCCTTTAAACACGTTCGTGCATCCGCTGGCGCGCCCCAGTAATGCCCTCATCGGCTTACATGAGACCAGTCACGCAGACTTCGCCCAGCCGCGGGCTGAGAATTATGTGGAGGCCACCACTTCCGCCCGCCACCGACAGGGACCAGAGGCCGGGCGGCGTTGGTCTCGGGTCGACGGACCTCCTCACCGGCACCGGTGCGTGTATAGGCGGGAGTGGGGGGGGGGGGGGGGGCGGTACCAGGCCGGGCGGGCTCAGCCGACTCTGACGCCAGCAGGCCGGCGCCGCCCGGACGCACCGCGCTTGGCTGGCTGGGGAGCCGGCGCCGCCGAGCTGTGGGGCCTGACCGGTGCCCTCCGATCGCGGAATGTGACGCAACACCGCGGGCGCCCCGCCCCGTCGGCCACCGCCGTAAGTAGTGCGCCGGGAGACGCAGAGCTCGCGCCGCACGCGGCAGCGAGGCGTCCGTCGCCGCCGCCGCTCATGGCGCCACGTTCAGAGACTGGCTGCCGGGCCGCGCGAAAGCTGCCTGCCTGCCGTGCACCGAAGCCTCGATCGATCCGCTGGCAGCGGGGCGCGTCGCGCCGGCCGCTGTCGGTCCGCCCGTCCGATCGGCTGGCGTCGCTCCCGCCTGGTCGGTCAGGGTGGTGCTCGTCACCGCCCGGCCGGCGGCCTCCGCTGCGGCCTCTGCGGACGGCGTGGTCTCCATGGCCGGCTCGGCGGGCGTCGCCTCCATGGCCGGCTCAGCGGGCGGCGTCGCCTCCTCGGGCGTGCCCAGCGAGCTCCACCAGCTGCTGAGCGCGCCGCGCGCTACGGTGAGGGCGCCACCTGGTGAGGGCGCAGACAGTGTCACGACCGCTCCGCCGGCCGCGCGTACGGCCTCCGTTTGGGCTAAGATGCGCGGGTCAAAGCGAAACACCGTACGGTAACACTTCACCAGTATATCCAACACTTCCGCGCCCATCTAACTTACGTGGTAACCAGTGGAAGCGCCCACCGCCAACCGCATAAGCGGAAACTACTAATAACACAATGGAGGAACAAAAAGGACGTGGCCATGAACATCGAAGGTGAAGACGCGGGTCTCACTAATTTTTATTGCCTGTCCTTCTGGAATTACCCATCTGGTTTTGCCAGCGCACCAGCTGCCTGCCTCCCAGCAAAAAAAAAGAAAGAAAAATAATGGGGCTTACTTACTGCGCGTCCCAAGTGGCGATTACGTCCTTGGGAGCCTACAACCCGAGCGGCACGGGCCGCAGCGAGAAGGCGGCCGACCACCAGCCGCACATAAATACAGCCGACCATTAGCTGCACATACCTACTACGCGTCCCGTCATGGCGGCCACCTGAGTCACCTTGCGGCCGCGCTCCGAGCTCTGGAATGTTCTGAAAAGGACGAGTGGAGAGTCATTACGCCGTGCACCCCGCGGTCAGCAGCAGCCAAGGTTTAGTGCCAATGCGCAGCATTTTGATCCGGGGCTGGCTTTGAAAAAAAAACATCGGATGATTCACTAGAAGTACCGCCCCCGCGGTCTGGGGGAAAGATGCTGGACGTAATCCGGCGGCACTGGATACGAGCCCCAGAATGGACGCATTGTTTGACCCGACTGGCATGGAAAGGTCAGCTGGCAGCAGGCCAACGAGGGTCGACCCAGGCCTGGGGCGGCCGTGCCGTAGCATTGTGCGTCACGTAAAAACCTTCGCATTCCTGTCTGGCAGAAGGGCATAGGCAAAATTATCCGTTCAACTGGACGGCACGACGTGGGTGGTGGGTTCGGGGTGCACGCTACAAGCTATGCTTAGCAGGTACTCTGAGCCCGAAGTCACCCGTGCAAACTATTCGGAATAAATTTATTTAAAAAAGTCAAACAAGTAGCAATCTGCTAATATCCGGCGATGATGATAACACCGGTGGCCGGGCAGCGCGTTGATCTACTACAGACAGACCAACCATTCCAAGTCCGCCAAGTGATTTCAGCTCACAAATCACATACATCGATGCGAAATTCGAAAGTGGAGAAGCTCCCAATCAATGTCCGTAGTTCGAGACGACTGGTGATGTTAAAACAAAAACGTTTCACCAATGGTAACCGCTCCTGTGCCTCTGGGTACACACGGCAGTACGCAGCCCGCAAGAGTAGGCTTCACGTAATCTCAGATCAGCTCCCAAGTTACCAGAACCGTCACGATAATCTCCCAGAGTGGACAGTAAAAGTGTTGAGCCTTCCCAACAAGGCCGTGAGACCCGCCACTCTCTCCTGTCCCGCCCACGGCAGAAGGATAACAGGATCCAGTCCCGGCGCGGGTGGTGCACCGCGGCAAAGAGTGAAGGACCGCGCGCCTGGAGACCCATCCGACACTTTCCGCCGACCTTCTGCTGACTGGTCTGTGTAACGGGGCACTAGCTGTCATTACCCTGTCTGTGACTGTCCTTCAGACCATTAGCCACCTGCCAGCGATCTACTGTGAGATCTTAAGATAGGCCATCAGCAGCCTGCCAGTGACCTACTGTGAGATCTTAAGACAGGCCATCAGCAGCCTGCCAGCTACCTACTGTGAGATCTTAAGACAGGCCATCAGCAGCCTGCCAGCTACCTACTGTGAGATCTTAAGACAGGCCATCAGCAGCTTGCCAGTGACCTACTGTGAGATCTTAAGACAGTCCATCAGCAGCCTGCCAGTGACCTACTGTGAGATCTTGAGACAGGCCATCACCAGCCTGCCAGTGACCTACTGTGAGATCTTGAGGCAACCCATCAGCAGCCTGCCAGTGACCTACCGTGAGATCTTGAGACAAGCCATCAGCAGCCTGCCAGTGACCTACTGTGAGATCTTGAGGCAAGCCATCAGCAGCCTGCCGGTGGCCTACTGTGAGATCTTGAGGCAAGCCATCAGCAGCCTGCCAGTGACCTACTGTGAGATCTTGAGGCAAGCCATCAGCAGCCTGCCAGTGACCTACTGTGAGATCTTGAGGCGCATGTCAGCCATGCTGAGCTGGCCGGAGCACGGGTGACCCGGATTGACCTCCAGCACGCCCAGGTGCTGGCCGTCTGCCCACTGCACATAGCTCGGCGTCTCCTTCAACGCCGCGATGTAGCAGCTGTTGTAGATCGCGTGCTCAGCACTGCCATCTGTCGGAAGCAGCGCAACCTGTCTTATGGCGGCGTCCGTGCTACACAACAGATTGGCGATAAGAACGCTGCGCGCATTTTCTCAATAAACGTCAAATGACACCTCGTCAACAAAAATGGCCCCGTCCCCGTTGTATGCAACACGGCCAGATGTACGTGTCGCAAAGAAGGTAAGAAGCCTAGATGAGGCTGATGATGCTATAATTTGAAAAGCACGTCCAAATGAGGGGCTACAAAATACAATGCTTTATCCAAGCTGGGAGCCTCACTGCACAGGCCACATCCCTTTTGCTGTTGTTTATTGGTGTTTTCGGGCGCGTCGACTGCACTGGTCATTTTGCGCCCAGTAGGTCGCATCCCCATCAGAGGCACTTTTGGTCACTCCACCAAGCAGGTCTGCTGCCTGCAGAGCTAATAACAATGTTCAGTTCTTTACCATGAGCTTACTTCAGACCCATTCAACAGTTCGTCAATCACCATACGACTGCACCGATCATGCTCGGAAACGACACCGAAATACAGGCTTTTGGATTATTCCTGCCAACAATCTGCATCATGGGTGCTGTGCGTTTTACATCAAGCGTATTTCGACACTCGCCTGGGGTATCCCCCCCCCTTCCCCCCGCCTCCCGCCACAGCGCGCCGCGTACTAACCGGGGAGCAGCGAGGTGCGCAACATCATGAACAAGTAGAGTCGGAACACGGCCCGCAGCCAGGCGTCAGAGCCGCGCGGCGCCAGCTCGTCGGCCTCGACGGCGCGCGGCTCCAGCGGCGACGCCGACGACCCAGCGGCGGCCGGCTCGGTGACGGCCCGCACCAGCAGGTCGGCCAGGCGCAGGTCCTCCGTGCTCAGCGCTAGTTGGCGGCGTAGGGGCGCGCTCAGCTCCACGGAGCACGGCGCCATCTGTTGACAGACACGGACACTGTAAGTGCGAGGCAGGCCCGCCACACATCCGCAAGTTGTTTGGACAACGTGGTGTATATGAAGATATTACCAAAAATGTTCTATGTTCACAATGTGTTAACTACACACAAACAGCACACCATAAATGGCAGTATGCATGAAGTCACAATAAACAAAATGTCATTTTCACTACGAGAAGTTTCATAACAGAAGTGCTACACAAACCAGCGCCCGAACCACGTATCGACGAAGCACGGCATTTCCAGAAGCCTCCCTGCCACCCCGGCCGTAGTCAGCGACCCCCACCGTGACATAGGCGTCCACTAGGTGTCGCTTGTGGCTGTAGAGCACGTTGGTGGCGCCGGCCAGGAGCGTCTGCACCTCGGTGTCCGTCAGCAGGTGGATGTCCGACAGGGACAGGTACGGGTGGCACAGGTGGCCCTGCGCGCATCAGCCGGCGGTGGCGGAGGTGAGTTGGGTTTTGTCGCGCCGCGACTGCTTAGTCACAACTGCATGTGCTGCCATCGAGAAGACCGAGGCGCGACCACAGGCATGAACGTGTCAGACGCCGTCAAGGAAGGGTGGCATGAAGACCAGTCACAACCGACCGCCTGCCTCCGTCCCGCAGCAGCTGACAGAGGCCGAGGCCGACACTCGCTCGAGGCAATCACAAGCCAGTCACAACCGACCGCCTGTCTCCGTCCCGCAGCAGCTGACAGAGGCCGAGGCCGAGACTCGCTCGAGGCAATCACAAGCCAGTCACAACCGACCGCCTGCCTCCGTCCCGCAGGAGCTGACAGAGGCCGAGGCCGAGACTCGCTGGAGGCAATCACAAGCCAGTCACAACAGACCGCCTGCCTCCGTCCCGCAGCAGCTGACAGAGGCCGAGGCCGACACTCGCTCGAGGCAATCACAAGCCAGTAACAACCGACCGCCTGCCTCCGTCCCGCAGCAGCTGACAGAGGCCGAGGCCGACACTCGCTCGAGGCAATCACAAGCCAGTAACAACCGACCGCCTGCCTCCGTCCCGCAGCAGCTGACAGAGGCCGAGGCCGAGACTCGCTCGAGGCAATCGCCACAACGCACCGCCCAACACGCTCCTGCGGGAGGCAGACTGCGGGGTCACAATAATTACGACGGCAGGTTAGCCATGCTATTCACTGCAAATTCGAGGATGTGTTTGGGAACGCCTACGAATAAGACAACTCTGTGCTTCAGCCCTACGAAGTGCTCGCATATGTCCACCGATGGCCAGCCCAGTTTCACTACACTCATGCCCCATCACCGCCGACTGTTATCGCTAGCCCAGGATACAACGAAACAGCTTAACGCGTCACCACAGAGTGTGACAGTCACCACCACACTAAGTCACCACAGAAGTGGTGACAGTTATCTTGCTGCTACGTTTCATCTTAGCTACAACTCCCAACAGCAAAACACATGGCGAACTGCTGGATCTATTTGGACGGTCCACGTGGGGTGCACGGATAAAACAACAAGTCTTCAGGGAAATTTAAGAAGAAAAAAAACAGCCCAAACTTATAAAATTGATAATAACCGACTTAACTTTTGCATGCGCTTTTCCTTCGCAGCATTCATCAGGCAGCATGTCAGCATCCCACTGTTCCCTACTTGTTTCATACAAATGAACCCAATTGCTTTGCTTCAAGCCGTAGCGTATCAGGTATAAAGTATCCGGTGGCAGGCTCAGTATTGTTGCCATACTGCAACGGTGCGCAACTCTAAGTGCCTTTCGTCGTCGCGGAGGCAACAACTAACTGTTAGCTAGCGCTTAAGATCGCGGACGCCAGCCCTGCGTCAGCGGCCAGGTCGGGACCGCCTCCCACCCACCTTCCGGAAGCGGCGGAGAGGCATGCCGCACTGGCGGTCGCCAAGCCGCTGAGCGGCGGCCAGCAGCCGGTCCAGCCGCGCGTAGGCGCTCTGCTGGTCCGCCTGCTGGTCCGCTTCGCGCCGCGCCGAGTCGCCTTCGGCTGACGAGGCCGAGCATGAGTCGCTGCTGCCGCCGCCGCCCGCCGTCCGGTAGAACGTGCTGTTGCCGGCCATGGCGCCGCTCGTCGAACCGATGTCCGGCGCCGTTTGTGGGACGCTGCTGCCGGCGCGCGTAGCCGAACAGTCGTGACTGGTGCTCCTGTGAAAGGCGCTGTTGTCCGACGGCGGATCCGCCTGGGGCGCCGCCGAGCCTTCGCTGGCGGAGCGGTAGAAGGTGCTGTTCGCGGTCGACCTGGCCGTGCCGCCGCTGTCGCCGGACCGGTAGAAGGTGCTGTTGCCCGTCACTACGTCCTCTTCTGCGTCGGCAGACTCTGAGCCCGGTTTGGGGGAGCCGGCCTCAGCTGGCGGCGCGCCCTGAGCGGCATCTGGGGGTTCACCAGGAGCGCCAGCGGCCGGACTGTGGCGGACGGCGGCAGCCGGTGCCGACAGCGCCGCCACCGCACCGTCCGAGAACGCGCCAGGGTGCTGTCATCACCGGAGACAATCACAGCCGCCCCCGACCCGCCAGGGACGACGGCCGCCACCGCACCGTCCGAGGACGCGCCAGGGGTGCTGTCGTCACCGGAGACAACCACAGCCGCCGCCCGACCCGCCAGGGACGACGGCCGCCACCGCACCGTCCGAGGACGCGCCAGGGGGTGCTGTCGTCACACGGAGACAACCACAGCCGCCCCCCGACCCGCCAGGGACGACGGCCGCCACCGCCGGCCCGTCGGCGGCGGCGGCGCCAGCGGCCGGCGCGGCGCCGGCGCGGCGCACGACACGCGCTTGGCCGAGGCGCGCCGGCTGGGCGGCGCCGGCTGCAGCGCGGCGCGCCGCAGGCCGGCCGGCACCATCTCGGGCAGCAGCGAGACCAGCGCCAGCACGCCGGCGCACAGCTCGCTCACCGGCGAGTGCATGACCAGCACGCGCCGCTCCAGCAGCAGTAGCTTGAACAGCACCAGCAGCTTGTGTCGGAAGAGCAGCACCAGGTCACGCACGCTGAGGCCTGTCAGCACCGGCCGCGGTCAGAGGCGCGCCACACGCGGCTGAACGGCGGCAGGCTGGCCGCTAACCGGATCATCTCACTCGGATCACGAACGCTCTCCGCGATCTCCGCGATCGCTCAGGCTACCAGCCGCCCGGACTCAGCTTGGGTGGACGCGGTCGAATTACTATGGTACTTCGGGAGGTTACGGGAGTATATCACTGTCGGGGGGATTACGCGTACATGTCGACATTAAGAAGCTCAGGGTAATGCAACAATGCCATTCAATCCAATGTTCCTTTGAAAGATACGAATTAGTACCCAAGCGCCAAGAGCAGGCCCACTCTGTAGATCTTAACCCAACAATCCCGTGAAATGATACACACACAGTGCTTGGCACGATGAATATAAACCAGGAAGTGTCGAAACCGTCTCAAAGTGGCTTTACGCGGTCAAAACGCGTCCGAATGCACTGCGAGAAGTCTGCACTGCGGAGCAGAGCAGAGGCCGAGGCGCATGTGCAGCACCGCTATAGCAAATGTGCCGCGTGTGATCCTGTGTTACAAACTGTGAACTGTACACTGTTCAGATCCTGCTCCCTGCAGAGATGCCTGTGCACACGGAACATGGCCGACACAGTAGATAGCCAAACATTACATGGTCAACCAGTACACGACCAACACAATGCATGGCCAACACAGTACATGGTCAACCAGTACACGACCAACACAATACCTCGCCGACACAATACATGGCCAACCAATACACGACCAGCACCATGCATGGCCAACACAGTATATGGCCGACACACTACATGGCCAACCAGTACACGACCAACACAATATAAAGCCGACACACAGTACATGGTCAACCAGTACACAACCAACACAATATAAAGACGACACAGTGCATGGCCGACATATTCCATAGCCAACACAGAACACGACCGACACCATACATGGCCAACACAGTACATGACCATTACAGTGCATGGCTGACACAGGACATGGCCGACACAGTACATGTTCAACCAGTACACAACCAATACCATACATGGCCAGCACAGTACACGGCCGACACATTACATGATCAACACAGAACATGATCAACACAATACATGCCCAACACAGTACATATCCAACACAGTACATGGCCGACACAGTACATGACTGACATGGTACATGTCCAACACAGTACATGCCCAACACAGTACATGTCCAACACAGTACATGGCCGACACAGCACATGACCGACATGGTACATGTCCAACACAGTACATGGCCGACACAGTACATGACCGACATGGTACATGACCAACACAGTGCATGGTCAGCACAGTACATGGCTGACACGGTACATGGCCGACGCAGTATATGATCGACACAGTGCATGGCTGACACAGTGCATGACTGACACGGCACATGCCGAAGCAGTATATGGTCGCCACAGTACATGATCGACACGGTACATGACCGACATTGTTTATGGCCGACACGGTACATGGCCGACACAGTACGTGGCCGACACGGTACATGACCGACACGGCACATGGCCGACACCGTACATGGCCGACACAGTGCATGGCTCACACGGTACATGGCCGACAAAGTACATGGCCGACACGGTACATGGCCGACACAGTACATGGCCGACACGGTACATGGCCGACACAGTACATGGCCGACACGGTACATGGCCGACACAGCAGCCGGGCGCACCATTCTGCTCCACCGACCGCCTTCCATCAAGACCCGCACAGAGGAACCTCGAAGACATTACCGAAACAAATCCACTCACCCACCAACACCTGCGGAGTGCCAAGCATTGATGCCGACAGACAATGGTTGAGGTTGCTGTAGGCATCCTTCAGCACCTTCACATTACTGAAGTCTCCTGTCTCGAAGTAGGCAGTGGTGATCAGCTCCAGCTTTACCTGCATGCCAAACATGGTCGTAGACTTGAAGGCGTCGATAATGGCACTGCCACTGTTACAACATGTAATGTCACTGTCTGTCGTCCTTTCTTTGGCTGGATTAAAGCTCTACTTTATATTCATCGCCTGAATTTTCCACTGATTTAGGTATAAACCCTCTACATGGAAGTTATCCTGATATTTGTTTCATATCTGAGATCAGTAGCCCACGGAATTTTTGTTCTGTTATTTTACATGTTGGCGACCTTTTCGACCAGAAACATCAGTGTCCATTTGGGGAAAACTGAACGATTGTGAGAAAAGGACCTGAACAACACAGACCACCCACCTGTATCTGTCCATACAGCGGCAGCCGACTTAGGGCAACGACAGACTTCTGCACCGACTTCCGCGTGATATCTTCCGTTCGGTTCAAAACTCGCTGTAAAACAAAATGGCCATAAACTTCCAAATTGAAAACCTGCAGTTGCTTGCAAAGGCAACCAAAGCGGGTCAAAACCGTGCAAAATGGTGTGATATACAGCAAGCATTTTGCCACTTGGTAGGCCACTACATCCAATTACCTCAGAAACATCAATGGTTTTGGTGGCAAGCAAGTACTGGTGCTTTCTTTCCCATATATTAAATGCTGCCAATCGCAAAATCATCCCACCCCGTCTTCTGCCTTGGGTGTCCATAAAGATGTACATGGTTTTGCATCAAAATGCTTGAAACCTTAATACGTACGTCAGCGTCTATCTGACGGTAGCAGGACACACCATAGACGGTGTCGCTGCCCTCTATCGGTGGCAGATGAAAGTACACGGTCTCCTGGTGATAATTGTGTGAGCCGTCAGGCATGGCGATGCTCGGCAGATGGCTCCACTGAGGCGGGCATTCGTCCCCGGTTGGCCACTGCGGGTGACTGAACTCCACCTGAAGATACGGATAACCGTTCTTGGAGCACATAAGAAACACACAACAAGATCACAACACCACATTGTGGAACACCTCAAGCCATCCCTTCAGGAGCCCAGGGAGCAGAGATGTCCGAGCCCATATGAGCCGTCCACTGGTCCCGAGTCCGAGGTACCCCGTCCGTGATTTACGGCCAATTACACACCGACCAATGACACAACGCGCCATGTTCGCGATGCAGCGGCGGCACTGCAGCCTATCTGAAAACACCAATGTATTTGCAACAAAAAAATGTACCAATGTAGCAAATCCAATTCGCAAGTATCAAATTTCTTATAGGAACACAACCTCAAACACAGCTGAGTCTCATGACCCAAGCTGCTTTCGGTGTCGCAACAAGACCATTGTGTGCAGCCAGTGTTGATTATCAGTCCTATACTACAATGACAATTTTCCTAATACTTCTGGTCAGCAACACCTGAGGCCTGCTCTTTATGGCAAATGCCATCCCATTGAGATAGCTATCAGAAATGCCTTAAGTCCAAGACATGGGTAAGTATGGGATCAGGCATGTACCAGCAGTGATAAGACATCAGACAACCCAGGCTATGATGATATGCCAATGGGAGCAAAGGTGCAGCCATGCACCATAATATCAAAGTAATTTGGCCAGCCACTTGGTTAAAATTAGAACAGGAATAACACTGTCACACTCATGCTATCCAACCAAGTGTGGTGGATGGTTAGCAATTTGCCATATACCATGATCATGAAATGCATTGGCCATTTATAAATGCTGTTATCTTGAAAACTACACACACAAGGTATAACTTGGCCAATGATATCAAGGAAAAGTTAAGTAGCCTTTTCACCAGTCAAGTGGGGCCACCTTAAGTCATACACAGGCTACCAATTGCTAGCAAAGGGTGCAGACCTGGCATGCAAGCTATTTACAGGCATTTCCTTTGCTTTGTACCTTTCGCAGCACATAAAATAACCATAATGCAATAATCTCAACACTTTTCACCATTACATCCATGAAAGAAAGTTGTCATTCATACCTTGCTGTTAGCATACATTCTCATATTGTATTATTTACACCAAACATGCATATATTTCAACAGTCACATCAATGGCAAGAAGCGTCATTTCTCTATCATGCAAGATCTTATATGCATGTTTGTTAGAGGTGCTTAATGTTTTCAAACCAGGCGACATGTTGCCAAAGTATTAGGCCAGAGACATTCAAGTGAAACAGATCAAAGCAAAATGATACTAATTTCCATTCAGTTTTACAGAACACTTCTTTGTATTTGGATAATTCAGTTTTGAAAGCTGTTGACATAACATACCTGATATCCCTTTTTGTGGTGAAAACCCACCACAATAATGTGTAGAATGACATCTTGGGTATCTTCCATTTTAATGACCTCTTTTTGGCAGGTCCAGGTTAAGAAATCCTCATTATGCAGACACTGAAAACACAATGCTTCATATCATATTCATAACACATAAAATCAATTACTGTTGCTTTGTTGGACAGGTAGAACAGGTATAGAACAAGAAACAATTATCATGCATGCATTGGAAAGACAGTGCTCTCATCACCTTGATACGTAAAAAGCATGAAAAGTGGCACTAGTTGTGTCACTAAATTAGTGTAACAATGTAGCAAATGTATGTGTGACACCAGCTGGTGCTAATGATACAGTGCTGTGGCTTTGAGGTGTACTAACAGCAGCAGCTATTTGTGAGCACTACAATGTTGCACAATGCACTTAATTGCTCCTGCTTCATACCACCATTGGAACCCATGCTCCCCACTCACACATGGCTATAACCAATGTGTTGTGACAGATGACTGCAAGACCTTTACACATCCAGGTAAGCAAAGGACCACTTTGGAAACTGGGTGACCTATCCTGGGAAAACCTTTACCTAGGCTGGCACATCACACAAACCAAAATGCCACTCTCACTGCAAACTGGACATGCTACTCCTAGGCATGCACAAAGTTCATCCCAAAAGCAACACCATGTGTATACATAGTTTCCTTATATTACAATTACACAAATAGAACAACAGCCACAGAAGGTCTACATTCTGCAGTTAGTCATCATTTGAACAGAGTGAACTGAATAGATTTCTGGTTTTATTACACCCCATTTTGGCAGGGGCTAAAGCAAGCATATTAATCAATCAAATCAAAGATATGCAAAACACATTACAAAAAAGTTGATAACAAAGTGTCCTCAGATACACACCATCCATGTTTTGGGAACGTGGTTCAAGATGAATCACTAACACCACATTCAGCTGAGCAAAGTATCCTTACCTGGGCTGGCTTATCAGTTTTAAGTCATTGATTCCCTTCTGGTATAGTAAGCTTATCAGGATTTGGTATAGTTAAGGGGTTCATTCACTTGATTTTGTCCTTTGCTTTATTTTAAAGCATCACTGGTATGGCAAACTCATAAGGATTTGGTATACTTAGGGGGTTCACTCACTTGATTTAGTCCTTTGCTCTATTTTAAAGCATTATAAAGCAATGGCAAATGCTACCTGTCACAAAAAATTAGATGACAAAGATAATAAGCCATAGTGGCTTCTGATAACACCAATTTTATACATGGCTATTGTTAGAAATGCATGGCATATTAGACTGGGATTTTTGCAGCTCTAGTCATCTTTATTTCCTCAATGTTTTGATAGGCCTAATTTCTTGAAAACATTGGACCCAACAAAAAGATGAACTGATCAAAGGTCCACCACATGACCTACAATGAGTGTGGACCCATCAAATGTCTATCACATTGATAGATAGGTAACAGTAAGGGTAGCTCCATCAGAGGCCCATCACATGGACAATGATGAGGTTGGACCCATCAGAGGCCAATCACATGGACAACAGCAAAGATGGACCCATCAAAGGTTCATCACATGGACAAAAGTGAGGGTAGACCCATCACATGTCCATCACTTGGACAACAATGAGGGTGGACCCAGCAAAGGTTTATCACATGGAAAACAGTGAGGGTGGGCCTATGAAAGGGCCATCACATGGACTATGATGGGGTGGACTCATCAAAGGTCCATCAGATAGAAAACAGTGAGAGTGGACCCATCAAAGTTGCATCACATGGACTACACTGATGACAGACCCATTGAAAGTTTATCACATGGACAACAGTGAGAGTAAACTGATCAAAGGTCCATCATACAAAAATAGTAAGGGCTAGCCCGTCAAAAGTCTATCAAATGGCCTACAATGAGAGTGGGCACATCAAAAGTCCATTGCATAGACCATGATAAGGGTGGGCCCATCCAAGGCCTGTTGTATGGACAACAAAGGGGGTGGAACCATCCAGTACTTATTACATACAAAACATTGGGGGTGGACCCAACCATTAATTATCCTCAGTCTAGCATACAACAGCATCACAAATTGCATTCTGGATGCAGTTTGGGAAACCTCTTTGGTCACCATAGAAACGGGCCATCAGACATCTATGTTTTGCTTTTCTATAAAATAGACACATGCATACAAGCAATAATGCATACTTCATGTCATATATATCCACATATGATGTGAAGTATGCATTGCATATATCATATCTAGCAGGTGCCACACATTTGTAAAAAGTTAGCAGAGTCTACCTGCTCTTAACCAAAAATTTTCAGGCTTAAGTGAATTGTTAAATACATTTGCAAGAAACATTATGTATGTAAACATGACAGTCCTAAATCCTTACTACTGGTAGAGCAAATGGGAGAATGGAGCAAAACACATTAACACTTTGGTAACATTCCCTTGCCAAAACACACATCAATACCGATAAGTACGAATACGAATATCAGCACTGATTTTGTTCCGACAAACGCACGCAGCAGAAGTGCCGATTTATCTATCTCCCATTTTCCTGGTTAATCTACGAGGAATATGGCTAGAAGTACCGTCGCATCTACATTTTCAAGCATATAATCTGGCAATTCATGCCTGCAAACCTGCCCTAATGCCCCCACCCGATCAAGCTTCACAAAGTACGTCGACACCTACCAGTACTGACGTGATACAACACCCTCAAGGGACAGCTAAATAATTGAGTGCGCCACATCAACTGCTGCGCCGTTTACGTATCACTTCATGAAGAAGTAAATGAACTAAAATGCTGTCTGGATCATACATCACAGGTTTCCAAGATCCACTTTCGAAACAAAGGTGCTAACCAAGTGTTTTTTCGTTGCATGAGGACCAAAAGGGAGGCACATGAAAACTTTAACTCGGTTTTATATTTCACGCAAGCAAAAACGCTACCAAAAATCCAGACGCCAGGCTAGAGCGATGGCATTTGCTTCACAGATGCGTCTATAACAAGGCAAGCATACCTACATAGAGACACTGAGACACCAGAGAAATCATCGAGACCATAGAAAATAGAGACAATAGAGACACCGTCCATAATAGTGCAGTGTTTTGCAGGTGCTCCTTGGAGTTAACAGGCATCTTGTCTTCGCTGTACGCTGCGCGCGCCCTGACTTATACGCACCTAACGACGATGGCGTGGCGTTTCATTTCTCTGCTGCACTATTACAGCTTACATTTCATAAAAACTTCGCGAGCTTGCTTCACTCCCATGACCACAACTCTGACTGGAGCTGGCACACTGCAGCATTCACCGCAGCATGCACAGTTGCCATTCCCGTCATTAGTGAACATTGCCGTGCCGAGTACCGAGTGGGTACGGTCAGAGCGGCCTGCCACATCTCAGATGTCACAAAACTAACAGAATCCTGTACCACAGCTGTGAAATGTATAAAACTAAATGACCACACGCCTTTGTTTTATACCTTTTTTGTGTGACCAGCCTGTCGATTTCAACTATCATGCACTAATTTACTTCCACGAACGGTTTGATGCTAACAAATTAAGTTCGATATGGTCGGAAATACATTGTTTTGCAAACACTTAAAGGCGTGTGTCTTCTATTTTATATTCGAATTCGGCTCACACTTTTAAGGCGATTCGAAAAGAACTCGGAAGTTAGCTTCGTGCGCTTTGAGGCATATTTAAAATAAATTCCACCCAAGCAGAGCCAAGCACAAACCTACTCCTGATGAATTGTCCCAAACATGCATCCATCACAGCTGATGAGGGTACATGCGTTGTTATAGCCTTTGCCACATCCTTCCCAATACGTGACACCCTTCGCTAATTCATTACGCATTGCAGCAGGTACAGTGATAGCCTTGGAATGTTCAGACGCAGCGCCTCATGCTGCGGCTCATACGGCAACCAAACGCGGCGGCCGATGTTAGAGCATACGCTTATTTCGAACCAATTCGGCGGAGGGGTCACGACCTGGACCCGACAACAGCTTTATGGCGGCTAAGTTCTGTCTAGAATGCTCTTCGGTTACTTAAATCAGCCCATCTTTGTCACTCTACGATGTCAAAGTGTCAAGGATGTGTTTACGTCACCACGCCAGTAGAAATCGGGTGCTCTCGTCCTCCAAGCCCTCCATGAACAGTACGCTCTCGTAGGTGGTCCGCGACCAAACGGCAAAATGAAATGGCGCGCGTTCGTGATGTTTGCCAGAAAGCTGAAGTTATCACATCATTGCAGGCACACCTTGCACAAAAACAAAAACGAGGAATGTGTAAGATAGGCTTCATATCACGCCTTCAATATTGGCATCGCCTCAGCCTTTCAGGCAGCCCCGCTTGCCAAGTCTCGCAGCTTTCTCGTGGGGCACAACCATCATGCGTAATTTTCACGTGCATTGAGGGCGCATGTACTACCACCCCACGCCGTGAGCTCCCGCAGCAGACCCAGTCAGGGAAGGCTACCGGTGCAGTCGCTGCCAGCGGGCTCGGCTGCCGCAGCTGGGCTCAGTCCAGTCCAGGGTGCGCAGCACGTCCGCCCGCTAGTGGCTACCATGTCGGCGTACTTTGCGCAAGTCGAGTCGGCCGCCACCAGGAACTGGTGTGCGGCGCATGGCTGCAGCCGGAGCGGCGGCTCTATCAGTTCGCAGGCCTGGTGGGCGGCGCATGGCTGCAGCCGGAACGGCGGCTCTATCAGTTCGCAGGCCTGGTGGGCGGCGCACGGCTGCAGCCGGAGCGGCGGCTCTATCAGTTCGCAGGCCTGGTGTGCGGCGCATGGCTGCAGCCGGAGCGGCGGCTCTATCAGTTCGCAGGCCTGGTGGGCGGCGCATGGCTGCAGCAGGAGCGGTGGCACCATCCGTCCGCAGGCCTTGGTCTGGTCGCTCAGCCGCGTCCTGTAGCCGCTCCGACACCTGGCCCGGCACCGGGCCGCATCACAGTCACAGGTCCGCAAGCCCTCCGCACACGTAAGGCACCCGCTGCTCCCCACCACATGCGTACAGCACCCGCTGCTCCCCACCGCACATGCACAGCATCCGCTCCTCCACGCCGCAAACGCACAGCATCCGCTCCTCACCACCGCAAACGCACAGCATCCGCTCCTCCACGTCGCACACGTACAGCATCCGCTCCTCCACGCCGCAAACGCACAGCATCCGCTCCTCACCGCCGCACATGCACAGAGCATGCGTTACTCCCAGCCGCACACACACAGCACCCATTACCCCCTGTCGCACGCGCACAGCATCCGCTACGCCCCGCCGCACACGCACAGTACCCGCTCCTCCTCGCCACATACGCACAGCGTCCGTTACTTCCCGGACCAATAATACGGGTTATAAACAGGCGCAAAACCCTGGCGTCTGGAATACTGACAAATGCTGGGGGGGGGGGGGGGAATCTGGGCTGACAAATGCAGGGGTGAAAAAGCTTCGGATTTGCTAGATATAATCGGTGACAAAAACTGACCCATTTACGAACCAGTTGGCGACAAAGTTGCGAAATGAAAACAAATTTTAACAGGCAAGACCATTTTACAACAGGTGTTACATCAGATTATCGCAACTCGACGAAACTCAAAGCTTAGTATTGGTCTGTACTTGGTAACGCTTGCAGCGTGAGCACATATCGAAACATGGACGCTGCGTGGTATGAGCAAGTTGAGCAATAAAATGCTGCCAAACATAACAACTTTAATCGGGATGGTTTTTAGCAAAGGACAGAAACATACTACAAGCCATATTATATCAGTGCTGACGTCACAAATCAGTTTCGAATGCTGTTCAGATCAGCGCTTTTTACAGATTTGTTCAGCCAAGATTCACTTCACATGCTAAACAGTCTTAAATACCAAATACCTAGCCATATTACTCGTCGTAAGAATCACGGCTGGCCGCAGCCTCTTGCGACGAACGTAGTCAGTATGCTACGCAGCGTTTTAAAGAGTCGTGCCATTTAAGACATGTGGGATTGATTGCTCGCCACGCGGTAGTGCGTTGGGTTCAGTGCAGGGCTGCGTGCCGCTGTTGGTTTTGTTCATGTTATGCATGGGCGTAGGAACAGGGAGGGGGGGGGGGGGTCAGGAGGGCCATGGCCGCCCACTGTTCAAGGTGGGGCAGCAATGTTAGCTCCCCCCCCCATACTTTGAGATTGAGGTTGTGTTTAGCTTACTTTTCCATTACCTTAAACATACATGCCGATTTACCTAGTTCACCAACATCTTCCTCAAGATGCGTCGTCTTTTTCATTTGCTTATTGGCCATCGCTTAATATCACAGCCGAAGGGCCGACGCCCCGCGGTCTATGGAGACTGCAACACCGGGCGTCGGGGCTGTTGTTGCTATGACTTGCGAGCGCGCATGTTCAAAACCATATGATAGTTTTTTATCAGTTATCAGCTCTGAATCTTGAATATTTTAAGACGAACATGGATTAGCCATGCTAATACAAATTTGGGACCTCATATTATGTACAACCTATGTTCAGGGAGTCCTCAACATCTTCGAAGAGCACATAAAAACATGGAACTGGAGTCTATATACCAACTGGTGGACCACCTGCGGCGATAAGGGATGTTGTTGCGTCAGTGAGGGTTCCTGTGCTGATCTGGGGCCAAGTGCGCGGATCAGAAGGCCTCCTTTGTCAGGGAGGGGAACAATGTGATATGATATATCCTTCTAATGGCCTCCGGATCGACCAGGAGGTCTCTCCCCGTGTCACTAGAAACGCAGCCAGAAGACGCTTCGCGATCACACGGAATGGCCGTTCAGGCCTTGACCGGAAGCGGCAATGTGCTCCTGGTGTTCTACCCAGGGGGCCCTTGCCCGGAGGGAAACACGGGGTTTCATTCTTGTTGAGCAAAGTGGGTGCCTCATTACTGTTGAATAGATTGAGTCGAAATGAGATAAACAACCGAGCAATGTTATCCCATGTTTACCTGAGAGCGTTCCTTTTTCAGAATGGATTGGTGAAACAAATTACATCAAAAGGCTTGAACATGCCTGCCCGCAAGTTCGAGAGCGTTGGCCTGGGTTGCAGCTTCCGTAAAACTGAACGGCGTCGGCCACTGCAAGTGCCACCAGACGGCGGGCGCCGTGTTACTCTGTCTTCCGGACAGATTGATAGTCACAGAAACACAAAAATAGAGATTCTATCTGTACTCTTCCAGTTCCATCACCAGATTCCAGCACCACTTTGTGGTGCTTTAAGGGCCAATCCGTTCTTATCACCAGTCTAAAAATCTAATACGTGAAATATGCGCCCAGACTGCCTTCTAGATGTAGGATTTGATGTCCTGAAGCGTTCAAAGGTATTTTTTTTTCAGAAGCGTTATCATTTTCGTCCACCCGTTGACCACGGCTCAGTATAAGTTGCTGGACCGACGCTGCGCGGCCTTACAGAGACTGCAACGCCTGGTGTCAAGGTTTTTGTTGCTAAGATTCGCGAGTGCGCATGCTTAAAATTACGTCGCATAGCTTGTATCACAAATCGATTCAAGTGTTTAAAGATAACTATTTCAGGAGCGTCCCCATTTTCATCCACCGGTGCGCCACGGCTAGAAGTGAGCCATCGGGCTAACGCACCACGGATTGCGGAGACTGCGACACCTGCTGTCAAGGTTTTTTGTTGCTAAG